TTTCATTTAAACTATTTCTTAGGTTTTTTATTTAAACTATTGCTTAAGTTTTTTCATTTTTCAGTTTTTTGTTTAGTCACTAAAATAAAAAATGTCTGAAAAACGTAGTTTAGCCAGAGTATATGCTGATGTCAATACGCAAAAACCAAGAGAGTATTGGGATTATGAAGCTCATGTTATTGAATGGGGGTAAACGTTTTTATATTTAAAACTTTTAATTATTACAAATGTTTCGGAAATCAACATTTTTTTTTTTATTTGTATGCTAAATTTTTTACATCCGATTATAGTTTTTTTTCAATTGTTACAGTGTTTTTATTTTTATTTATATTATTCATTATATCTTGATGTTTTAGTTATATTATTCATTATATCTTGATGTTTGTTGTTCTAGTCAGCAAGATAACTATCAACTGGTGAGAAAGTTAGGTCGAGGAAAATATTCAGAAGTATTTGAAGGGGTCAGCATTGTCAACAATGACAAAGTTGTCATTAAAATACTTAAGGTAAATTATGTTTTTTTCAATTTATAGAAAATAGTTTTTAAATAATTTAATTTGGTTGTGTTTTTTTAGCCAGTAAAAAAGAAGAAAATAAAGCGGGAAATAAAGATATTAGAAAATTTACGAGGTGTTCCAAACATCATTACATTGTTAGATGTAGTAAAAGATCCTGTTGTAAGCAAAAATTTTGTATTTATTATAACAAACTTATCGATTAAAAGATCAAACATTATATACTATAGTCATTAAAAACTTTGTTTTTTTTAATTATATTTATCATTTTACATATGGTGTAAATTAAACTTTTTAGTCGAGAACGCCAGCTTTAGTGTTTGAATATGTTAACAACATAGATTTTAAGGTATTATTATTATTTGAATGATTGATTTTTTTCAATAATAAAATTATATATAGTTGAGTTATCGAATAATATTTCTTATAACCATAGCAACTATATCAACAGTTTACATCAGAAGACATTAAATTTTATTTGTATGAGCTCCTAAAGGTATTTTATTTACAAAACTATATTTTAAGTTCAGTGTTTTTTGTTAAGGCTTAGATTACTGTTGCTATATTTAATGTTTTTTTTTGTTTTTTTATCAGGCCTTAGATCACTGTCATAGTATGGGAATAGCACATCGCGATGTCAAACCTCATAATGTAATGATTGATCACGAACAGAAAAAACTACGACTTATTGACTGGGGACTAGCAGAATTTTACCATCCTTCCCAAGAGTACAATGTGCGAGTAGCATCTCGATATTTTAAAGGACCTGAACTTCTTTTAGATTTTCAAGAGTATGATTATTCATTAGATCTATGGAGTTTCGGATGTATGTTTGCTAGTATGGTAAGTTAGTTAAGGTGTTTGTTACATGTGCGGATGTTTGAGCGCACCCTCGGGTATGTATTTCAGTATCTAGGAAATCTGATGTGTTCTTTATTAAATTTTTTTTATTACTTATTTTTTCTTTTTATAGCTTTTCCGTAAAGAACCATTTTTTCATGGCCATGACAACACAGATCAGGTTCTTAGACTTTTCGTTTAGCAAACAAATTTCTTGTTGACAAATCTTACGAAGGTTTAAAATAAACTTTTTATTTTAGTTAGTGCGAATTGTAAAAGTCCTTGGTACAGAGGATTTGTTTGATTATATTGAAAAGTATAAAATCGAGTTAGATTTACGAATTAAAGATAAGTTAGGAGGAAGGTAAAAAATATATTCTTAGTGAAACTTCATTTCTCTAATTTTAGATTGTTCATAGTTTTATCTTTATTTTAGACACTCGAAGAAACGTTGGGAACGTTTTGTAAATAATGAAAATCATCATTTAGTAAGCGCTGACGCAATAGACCTTCTAGATAAAGTTTTAGTATACGATCATAATGTAAGTTTGCGTCATATGCTTTTAAATCTCAATTTTTTGATATCTTATGATAAATCATTTTTTTATTTTATAAATAAAAATCTATTCTTTTGCTTTGTTTTTAGAAGCGATTAACTGCGCGTGAAGCCATGGATCATCCATATTTTAGTAGGTTTTTTATAGTTTTTGTTATGTCCTTATATTTATTAAACATATGCAATTTTTTTAATATTCAAATTTTAATTATAATTTTTGTTTGTTGTTATTTTTGTTTTTTGCCTAACTTGCTATAATTTTTTAACAGATAGTGTAAAGTCGGGAAAAGAAGATGAAATGAAGTAAATACTTATAAAACCAATCCTGGTTTTTGTTTTTCTAAAGTGATTTCGTTTCATTTGATGTAACAACGAAATAGCACGTGCTGAAAATTCCAAGATTGCACGTGCGATAAGCTTTTAAATGATACATGACACACGTATGTTATCACGTTATTTTGTATAAGGATTGTTAAGGTTTTTTGGCCACAATTGCACTTGTGCGTGATCGGTTTAACGATCTTTGATTTCAAACGGCAGGTGTACACGTTTTTTGTTGTTGTTGCTTATAAGTTATGCCTTGATGTAAACGTTTTGAAAATCGCTATTATTTATTTAAGTTAACTGAGTTACCGATTATTCTTTGAATAGGTATATCTCTATATAATGTTTCTTATTATTTTTATGCAGAGATTATTATAAAGATTTTCTGTTGAGTCACAAAAAGTAATATTTTTAAAATTTTGTTTTAGTAATAAACAAGAATAGCTGAAAAAGCTCAAAAATTGTTTTTTATATTTTTATCAAACATTTAATCTTTTACATGCACCACAACAACATAAAAAATATTTTCGTATAAATAATAAAAAAAATAAAAGTGTTTGTTAAAACGCAATCTTTAAATCATACATAATATATAAAAGCAGGAAATGTGAAGAATTCTTTTCTTCGCTATTCGTCTTTATTTACTTAACTTTTGTTCTTTAGTATTTAAATATTCTTTAAAATTTAAAGTTATAAGGTCTACGATGATGTGGTATTTTAAAACGCGTATCATTATTAATAAAAAAAAAAGAAAATGTCCTTTAATAGAACTGTAATAAATGGTTTTAAATGTCATTTTATGGGACAGTTCAAAAACCGCCAATGTAACTGGGAGATTGTAAATACATTAATACAAACATAAAAAAGATCTTAGTTTTAAATTATTTTTTATAAAAATAACAATATCTTGTTTTGTAAAAAAAACATAAGCAAACGAGATCAAAAAAACATTTTCAAAGTAGGTAATTATTTAGCTAGACATGACAAAAAAAAAGTAAAAAAGCTCCGAGCAAGATTGCTATAAAAAAACGTTTTGATTGGTTTCCCAGTCAGAAAGTATGTAAATTACAAAGTTAGTGCAAGTTATATGTACATAAAAATCAGATCGAATTGAAAATATTTTATTATGTACTCTTATTGTAAATAACAAAATTTTAAATGATGCTGTCCATTAGTAATGATACCGATGTAAATACCTTAGTATCTAGGTACAAAAATGCAAGAAGTTTGTAAATTAGAATATGCTAGCTCCACAGCTGTCTTCATCTAAAGTTGTACGAGTCACAGATACTGCAATAAAGAAAGTCTTGTAAAAATGTACGAGCCGCATATGCTACAATAATTTACAGTATTTTAATGAATCCAGAAAAAAACGTTATTATGAATCGATGGGGTATGAATCGATGAGGTATGAAGTTATTGGTATAAAATACTATGAGGTATGAAGAAAGTTGTAAAAAATATTTGAACGTTTTATAACATAGGCTTTCGATGAATAAGTAATAAAAATTGACATTCTTAAAAACATATTAAGATAACAGATTACGAAAAATTAATTTTTTTTTAACACTCTAAAAAAAAAGGTAGAAATAATTATATTCTATTCTTAAAGATAAAAAATTCTATTCTTAAAAACTAAAACTTTTAAGGTCACAAATTACGCCTCATAGTCCATTTTTCGTATAATTTTTTACCTTAAAGGAATATGGTATGTCCCAGTGGGCACGCGTCGTCGAGGGACGTCCTTAAACAATGCATGCCCACTGGGGTGATACACCTTAAAGATAAAAATTTATACCTTTTTTTTTATTTTGTATTGATTTTTTTCTGAATGGTCACTTTTTACAGAACCGTTTTTACTTTGATGAAATTTTGAGTAGTTTTTTCTCTCATCGAAACTTGTGTTTTACTAAAACAATTTTCTAACAAGAGAATTAAATCTTAGTTTTTTTTCCATGAAATTTTTTTTAAAAAAGTTCTGTTTAAAGATATTCTTTGCTTCTGTGTATTTTCGTAAAAAGCAATAACTATACTATAAAAAGCAAAAAAAAATATTTATTCTTGAAAATACATTTTATTCAACAAAAAAATAAATTGTAAGAAAAAATTGGTTTTATATAAGTTTCTTTCTAGTCTTAGGAAAAGAACGAAATATTATTTGTTTTTATTCAGACAAAATAAACAATATTTAATTTATTTTAAATATTTAATTTAACAATACTTAACAGACAAAATAAACTAATACTTAACAAAGAAAGTTTTTATCGAACAAGATTTTTCCAAGAATAAATCTAAATTTTAATTTGTTTAAATTTTAAAAATCAATTAAATTTAAAAAAAATTAAATGTACTTAATGTAGTTAATTTATTTTTATTCATTTCGTCATATAATATAAGCTTTACAATGTTTTTACAACAAAAATAAAACGGAACTGGCGTAAGACAAGGTCTTATCATCCACCCCCGTTAACTAAAACACTTGACGTAATTCGCTCTTTCTCTAATTGAGTTAAATCATTAAATCTTTAGAAAAATTTCAGAGTTTGAATTGGAGGTTGAATTTATACGCCTAAAACAAAAACTGAGATTAGAGGTACCCTGAAATATTTGAGCTCTTTCAAATGTGTTCTCATATCTGGAGTTTTGATAAAAATCCTAACATTGAGTAGTTGCTAAAACTAGGCCATTAGGCAAAAAAAAAAGACAGCTATTCATTTATGGCGATATTCAGGTAAAAAATTGTAATGCATTTATCAGTCACCTTAAATCTGTTTTGGAAGAATGGCCAACAGTTTTGAAAAAAGCTAAATTAGCTGCAGATACTGCAGAAATATAACTTTCCAATCCACTTAAAATTGAAGCGCGAAGGTTTTGCTTGGGAGCAAATTGAAGGTAATGAACATATCACGGAATCAACCAAAACAGAATCAGGAGAGGAAGCTACAATTTGAAGCGGTTTATTGTTACATTCTTGACTCTGTGGTTGGTAGACTCGCTATTCGTTTCATAACCATTCAAGAAATCTTTGCTACATTACCTTTTTTGTGGGATTCTCAAAAAATGTGAAGCAATAAGAAAGAGGGCCTGCAACCATTTCTTACCGAAATATTCATGTGACGTGACTGAAAATGAACTGACTGAAAAATTGATTAACATAAACAATATCATTGTACAAACTTTAGAGAAAAACCAATTTCCCCATTTGACTTGTTACACAAAGTTTCAGAAATGAAAGAAACTCTTCAGAAATTCAGTGATTGCACTGCTTATTTTTGCTTCAATTCCAATTTTTATGGGACAAGAGCAAACAAGTAATCTTGCCATTTTAAGTGTCTATTAGCACAAAATCTTGATTTCCATGGTGTAATTTAAGAGTTTGTTAAACAAAAAACAAAAAAAAATATCGTAAATAATAATAAATATAGACTATTTAATTACAATTATATATGAAAATATAATCAAAAAGTTGAAGAGAATTTTTAATTTTAGGAGAAGAGGAGGGGGTGAGGTTGGGCCCCAAATTGAATGATGCTCGGGGCCCCCAAAATCTGTGCACGGCCCTGGTCATAATACTGATGAAGCATGTAATGCCTATTTAAATAAGTTTTTAAATATATATAATGAAACATTTCCATATGAAATAATAAAAACAAAAACTATTGCAAACCTTTAGATGAACAAAACTCTAGTAAAATGTTTGAAAGTAAAACAAAAACTCTATAACCTCAAACAACTTGGTTTCCAGAAAAATACCTCAACTGAGCGTGCAATTATTGAGTCAGTTGACGAAATAACCTACGGGTTTGAAAAAAATCAGTTCACTCTTGGAATATTTATAGATCTATTATAGAAAGTAGATCACTCCATACTTTAAGAAAAGTTACTATGATGTAGTAAACAAAACATTTAGTTAAAAGTTACCTTACTAACCAAAAACACTATTTAGTCAATCCAGTCAGTTATATAAACATATAAATGTTTGGAGTTTGCTCCATGTCTGGAAGTTAGATATCTCGAAGACCACAAAGTGCTGGCGCTACCCTAGTAATAATTTATAACGTTAAATTTCATATTATATTATTTATATTTATTCAAAATTTAATAAAAACTCTGATTTAATGAAACTTGAAAATTTCCAAATCATCGTTTAATAAATTTTCTTCTTTAAGAAAGTAAAAAAAAAAAAAAAAACTGACATAAGTGCGAATCAGTTAAAAAAACTGGCAAAAGTGCGAACTGGCATAAGTGCGAATTGGCATAAGTGCGTCAAACAATTTTGCAAACATTGGCTTAAGTGCAAACAGGCATAAGTGTGAAATACTAATTTGCACTTATACCTATATTTGAAATTTTATTCAGCGCACTTATGCCGATTCGCAGCCATTTATGCCAGTTTGCACTTTTGCCAGTTTTTGTAACTGCTTCGCACTTATGCCAGTTCGCACTTATGTCAATTCGCACTTATGTCAATGTTTACAAATTTGTTTGGTGCACTTATGCCAATTCGCACTTATGCCAATTCGCACATATGCTAGTTCGCACTTATGCCAGTTTTAGCAACGTTTCGCACTTATACCAGTTTTAGTAACGTTTCGCACTTATTCCAGTTTGCACATATGCCAATTCGCGCTTATGCAGCCCGAGGCAAGTGCGCTTCCACTGCGCCACAGCTGCTCAAACGGGGTTTGACATGGTTTTAACTGAACCGTGACTAGTTTTGAATAAATCAATGTGAAAAATTGTTACGTTCCTACCATAAAAATGTAATAGTATCAATTGATAATAATTTTCACCCATGATAACATAAGTATTTGCCGTTAGTATCTGCAACTAAAAAATGTTTCACTTTTAATTGAAAAATAATTACTCATAAAATGCAGTTAGAACCTTTTCATAGTAAAATAGTCATATCTCTACTATGACAAGGTTCTAACTGCGGTTATAACGGTAATTAGAAACATTTTAACTACTTTAAAATTTTGTGATTGAAGTAGTTAACTACTCGGTGTAGTTAAGGCACTTTTAAAATAATAGAGCGTCTGTATGATATTTTGTTGACTGCGACATTTTTCCGTTAAATGGTCTGGTCTGTGAATTATAAAAAGACGAAAAAACTTAAAATGATAAATTTTGCGGTATCATAAAATATAATTGTTTGTAGCGAAAAAATCCAGACCGATGATTCTTTTTTTTTAAAAAAATCATCTTAAAATCACAATCGTTCGTCCAAATTTAAATAAGATTTTATATTAACATGTTTTTTAAGTGAAATGAACATTATAGTTTAACAATATGATCTGTTCTGATCGTTTATTGGCAATTTTTCATAATTATAAGCTCTTT